TTTGAATGAAGTAAAAAAAATGGTTTGGTGTTTCTATAAATTTTATTAATTTACAAATGGATTTTTTTGGGTTTTTTTTTAATACACAGATCTTGGTTATTGTTTTATATTGGATGGATGTCTGTTAGCAAGGTTTTCTTTGTTTTATTAATACATACACATATATATATATATATATATATATATTATATTACCTATATCAGTGTACATATACAACTATTATCTTGCAAATACTAATCGTATTTCTGCAATAGATATTGCAAAACCTAAAGTATTGAGTATTCAGGTTTTGCATTGAACGCAAAAGGTTTCTTGAATACGAAGAAGAAGGTAAAAAACTGAATTTTGCCTTCGCTGTATTATTATTTATAAACTTATCAATTTATTACAAAAATGTTAATGACTCACTACTACAAGACACAGTACATAATAAATTCACATATCGACTTTACTGAACAAAAAATCTTCCAATCCAAATTCGAGCGTTTCAATCAATTAGTTGCACGTAAATCAAGTATTTATTTTTTATAAACAAATTAATATTTGCAAATGACGTCAGAACAATGAAGTTTCAATGAACATTGAACAATATTTCCGACAAGTCGTCTAGTTTGTTGTCAACCTCATAATTTTTATAATTCGCTCGTCTTATTAAATGAAATGAAAAAACATGTAAAATTTCCTTGAATCTTTTCTCATCACGGTTAACTTGTGAACGATAATCTAAAGTAGTACATCTTGGATTGTTAATAATAATAATAAATTGTAATGGAAATTGTTTATAACTAGGTAAATTATGTTCACTGGTAGATGACAATAGATTGTGCATAGAATTTAGGTTAAACTTATTGCAAATATCTTGGCAAGTCTTTAACAACAATTATTTAGTTTCAAGTCATTCTGAACCATTTGGCACTGAATCGTTTAATTTTGCACAAATATTTTATTCACAAATGATACAAAAACTTCATTTAGTACAGAGGGCTAATATTCTTTCATTTTTATTATTAAATAATTATTTAATATTTTTTTACATTGAACAATGAGTACTCATCCAGATCACGGTCAATATAATAATAATTTGTAAATGTTTATTAACCAAACTTCCGGACGAATTTACGAAATTTTTCTATAGTCAAGGTTTGTCAATGAAATTTGTTCATTGTCTAACAAAACTGGATAAATAGATTTATGAGAAATAAATTGTTAACTACTTAATAAATAAGTTATTTCGTTAATAAATAATTAATTAATTAATTGATCATGGATACATAGTTTCTTTACGGTTTTGATATATTTTTAGAGATTCCCAGACATTATTCAAATACTTTTAAGATGTCCTAACATTTTTTAAATGCCATCGCAGACTTACAATATATTCTAAACATTTTTAAATATTTTGAACCATTTTAGAAATTCCTAGTCATTTTTAAAATATTTTTAGAAATTTTCAGACATTTTTTATATATTTTTTAAAGATCCATAAACATTATTAACACTTTCAGAGTCTTCCAGATTTTTTATCATTTTTAGCAATTCTAATATATTTTAGTTTATTTTTGTTTTTAGAAATGACAGACTTTTTTAAAATATTTATTGAAATTTCCACACATTTTTTAAATATTTTTTAGAAGTCCCTTCGAAATTCCTTTAGAAATTTATAGACCTCTAAACATTTTTAATCATTTTTAGAATTCCCACAAACTTTGAAATATTTTTTGAAATTTCCAGACATTTTTCAAACACTTTATAGAGATCTCCAAAATTTTTAACCATTTTTAGAGATTCCTACAAAACTGTAAACATTATTTTAAATTTTAGAGTATATTATATAAATAAATTTTAAAGTAAATTATATATATTTTTATCTATTTAGTTTAGTTAAATAATTTTTGAATTAAATCGTGATGTATATTAATAGCGATATGTATATAAATGTGTAAAAATGATTATAGAAAAATTTTCATTTTATATTTGATTATTTTGTAAATATTCATATTTTTTCAATACGGTCTTTAGCTCGAGTCCCTAAAATGTATTTTTAACCTGAAACCAGCCGCCGTTCGAGGGTAGCTAAATCGACGTTTGGCCGGAAACTGATATTCTGGTGATATCTTAACTTAAAAATTGTATCAGATTTTTTTTTCTTAAACATTATAAACATAGACCGCCTTTTATTTATTCCATTTTTATAGTTTTAAATATATTTTTTTGATCTTTATAGCTTCTAAGTGCGAATATAGCTAAAGTTCGTAAATATCATTTTTAACAATTTTTTTCTAGAATTTACAGTAAAATTTTGCTATTTTTTATAGAAATAATTATGTAATCCAAAATATCGTAATAATCATGCTTTGATGCCATAAGTTTGTATATTTATAGCAAATATTATAATAATTAAAAGCGGGCGGCAGCGAGTCCCTGAAATGTGTTTTTAACCTGAAACTTGCCCTCGTTCGAGGGTCGCTCAAACGTCGCGCGACCAGAAAATGGGATTAGTGTAAAATCTTAAGATTTTTGTACTAGCCCTTGTATTTAAACATCAATGACATAATTTGTAATGGATGTTGTATATTTAACATATACTTTACACATTTCTATAAACCCACAACTACTTAATAATGATGAATGTACCTATTATAGATTTTATTATAAAATTGCATCAATTCTAAAATTAATTCATTTCGTGACTTCTACTTCACAGAATATTTTTGCACATTTTACAAAGGTGTATGACGTATATAAACATTACTTTTCTAATTTGAAATTTAAGAAAAATTCAAGGCCAGCGACTAATTTACTTTGAACGTAATTAGGTGCAATATTTGCACTATTTACATATAAATACATACATGTATATATATATATATATATATACATATATATATATATAATTATACATATATATATATATATAATACATTTGATTAAATTAATATTCATTTTATTTTAATTCAATCGATTATTCATCATCGATTAGTACTCCTCATAGAGGACGAGTCAATGTTTTAGGACATGAATAAAAATTCCATTATCGATTTTTTCACAATATTTCATAATTCCAAATACAAAATTACACAGTAAATCGTTCGCTTTCTAAGTTATAATTCAGAAATTTTCTGAAATTATAGAAATTACATCTATATGAGTATGTCATTATGTGATGTAATGGCCGAGGAGGATTTGCAAAACGAGTATAAAACTTAAAATGTGCACTAATTCAGGTTTAGTTGGGAAAAAATTGTTATCGATATTGAATCTTGGATTGAATCGGTATGTTTTAGTAAAATATATGTGAGGGTAAATTTGGAAATCTTTTTGGTGAAAAAATGTGCTCGGATATATTTAGGAAAAATATTTTTGTCTGATAAAAAATGTTATGAATCAACGAGTTTTGTTCGAAGTTTTTATTAAATTGTAGTGATATATGTATATATATATATATATATATATATATTTATATATATACATATATATATATATATATATATATATAAATTAGGTTAACAATATTACGTAATCAAAAATTAATTAATAAAATTTTTGTTTAGTAAAGTTTTTATTTGAACTCAATATTATAAAATGTGATAAATTTGTATATAATATTAATAAATAATTATAATAATTAATGAATCCAGTACTGGTGAATTAAAATATGTTAATAGGCAAATAAAAAAACATTTTTAATGAATTCTAATCATTTTTTTTAATATTTTTGGAATGTGGAATTATAATAAAAATTTATTTTGGCTTAGTTTGGCATTTATAACTAAAATACATTTTATGTGGAATTATAATAAAAATTTATTTGGCTTAGTTTGGCATTTATAACTAAAAAATACATTTTTAATAATAATTAAACTTAAAAAACAAAAAAAAAAATATATAAAAATAAAACAAATAACAGTGTTAAGTGTCTTGATATATTTATGAATAATATATTTATTTTGGTAAAATATATTATAAATAAAGAATTTAATTTTGAAATTCATAATAAATAAAAATATATTAATAAATGTGATATTCAGAGAAATTCAATTTAATCTCATATTTGAAATATCAGATATATATTTTAATTAATTTATAATATTATAAAAATTTTATTATATTTATTAATCAATAAAACAAAGTATTATATTTTTAGCCTGATAATAATTATAAATAAATTAATTTAAAAAAATATTATAAATATTAATTTATCAACAAATGTGGTTTCCCAACTTTTTTAAGTATTTTTTGAAATTATTAAATATGACTTAATGAAAATTATTAAATTTGTTGAGAAATTCTTGTTAGTTTTAAATAGTTGGACAAAAACAATTTCAATCAATTTGTTAATAATTAGATTGTTTAATTAAATTTGGTTTATATACGCAAAGTTTAAAGTTATTTATTTTCTATTGTATATAATATTTATCAAAATTAATACACAAGATTTTTTACAAAACTAAAAAAAATGATAAATTTTGAATGAATTCTTTGCAGATTAAATTAAAAAAAAAGTTAATTTATACATATAAATAAATTTATAAATATAATTAAAGTGAATGAATATAGGGAAAAATGAAATATAGAAAAATCAATCATATTATTATTAATTAAATTATTATCATCTATATATTATAAGAAAATCTAAACAAAATTAGAAAAATAAATTATTTTACCCTAATAAAATATAAAACAGATAAATTAAAAAATAAATGAAAATGTATAAACTAGATCAGAAAAATCTAAAACGTGAAAATTTGTGTAACGAATCTAATTTACTTATCAATAAATAATTGCACTTTTCCGTTTGATTAAATTAAAAAAAAAATACAGTGCTTAATTTCATGTTAATAAAATTCATACCGATTTATTTATAGTATATAAATCGTACTAATTTAATTATTAAATATTATCAATATATATATATATATACACATATATATATATATATATATTATATATAATTTTTATAATATTTTTGTTATTTTTTCAGTGTCGTTAATATGTATAAGTGGTCGGTGGTGATTTTTTGGTGGCAACGCCTTTCCTGGTAAATTCTTTACCAGTTCCCGAAATCAATGATGAAATTGGTGGTACCAATTTATTTTCATCGGAAATCGATGATATCAATATCGAGGACCAGAAAGCAGCACTACTAGAGGTAATATAATAAATAAATAATAATTAAAATAATTAATAATAATTTAAATATTTTTTTTCAGTTGTTAAAGAAAGAAGCAGCAAAAGCTCTTCGGGTCCGAGAAAATTCTAAACGACTAAAAATCGAAAATTCGCAATCTTTACAAGATGCAACCGGCCCAATGTACAATTTTGAACCAAACGAAAGGAACCAAAAATCTATCAAAAAAATTCTAGAAAGTTTAGTAAGTACATACCTACAAACCCAAACCTACAAAAAAAATTAATTACAAACATTTTCTTAGACAGAGTTGACTAAAAATTTATCACAATGTTTTTTCTTAGGCAGAGTTAACTAAGAATTTTGTCACAATGTTTTTTCTTAGGCAGAGTTAACTAAAAATTTTGTCACAATATTTTTTCTTAGGCAGAGAAACTAAAAATTTTATCACAATGTTTTTTTTTAGGCAGAGTTAAGGGGGTCTTCCTATGTGACGGCCTGTTTTTTAGGGATATTTTAGAATTTTTTTCTACGACCAGTAAATAGTTAGAGCTTCAAGTTTTTTATCATTTATTAATACATATTTGGACAGTATAAATATAAAATTTCAGCTAAAAAATTTAGTCCAACTAGAGTTACAGCGCTCTAAACACCCCCCCCTCAAAAAAAGAGCTCCCACTGTCTCCACGATTCCGGCTGATCGGCTTATCTGACCAAAAAAAAATAAACGGCGTTTTAATTTGTAGGCTTAAAAGCACGGAATGATCTAGAATCAAATGAATACAAAAAAATTGGATGTTTATAGACATTTGAAATAAAAGTTGCAAATTAGGCGTTTTTTTTTTTAGTTTTTTTGCTATAAAAAATCGAAGTTTTGAAATTTTTGATTGATAATAGGTCATTCCATGCGTTTAAATATATTGAATGTGCCCTGTAAATTTCAAGTAATTCGGTCTAGCCGTTTCTGAGATACAATGGAGACAAGTTTGAAAAACACAGTTTGAGAAAAACGCGTTTAAAGATAAAATGATCGTTGTACTATATACTATATGTATACTTTTTAAATGACTGTAACTCAAAAACTATTTGAGATATCGATTTGAAATTTTAATATGTTATTTTTAAAAGTATAAATCTACTGAAATATGAAATAAAAAAAAATTCAATTTTTTTCA